TCCGGGGCCTCATTTCAGTCTGTGTTCTCTCCTTGCTGTCATGGACAGGTCTCTGCTGTCTTCACCCTGGAGCCCAAACTGAGACACTTAGAAGAAGTGATACTTTTCTGTGTGGCGCCATTCAGCAAGCCCCTAAAAGTGACTCGAGTTTGCTGTGTAGGTAGTGAGTTCTCCCTCACTGGAGAGACCAAAGCAGTGGTCAGTCTACCATATGTCAGGAATAACTGCAACCTGTGACTAACGCCAATCGGTTAAGACACTGAACTTTGAGACCCCTGAAGCCCTCCCCACGCCAGATGTCTGATTCCATGAATTTCAAATGTGACTTCTACCATTGCATCATCGAAAACTCCTGAATTCTGCCCCCTACAGCTCTCTAAAGCTCAGACTTGTTCTGTACTATGTGGCAAAACACAATTTACATATCTCCCAAGTGTCAGAGCCATGAGAACAAAAAACAAATTAATCAACAAAGAATCCCTTTTCAATGTTTTTCAAGCCAGCTTGTGTCTGTCACCAAACCACAGGTGAAATGTTAATAAAATTCAGCCAGTGACAACAGCATAATGATTTAAATATGGTCTATTGTTCCAAAGAAACATATATATCATACAGCTCCAAGCCTGGCCTTTGTAATGAGTGTGAACTTTGTTAATAAGGGAACCATGGATGGCAACAAAGGCCTCCTGAAGAATAAAGGCAGCGGTGTCACCGTCACGTGGCAGAGGAGACCAACAGGGCACAGCCATCTTCGCTAGGAAATCTGGCAAGATAGGTGCTGCAGAAGAGGTCCTGGGAGAAGAAGCAACTGGAACATAGGAGTAATGAAGTCATTTCCCCCTTTTTTAGCCTAATTTGAAGAGACAGGGCCATGGGATCTTGCTCCGGTTTTGAATAATAAGAGTGAACCACAGCTGGAGAAGCAATGTGCTGGCCAGGTCCACCAGGGTGGGGGCGAATGGAGCCCTGGAGCCTCAGCCCTGGTCCCTGCTGCCTTTCAGCCTCATGCTGCCCAGCACAGGCTGACTGTCTTATGTTTCCCAATGCACAGCTTCTCCCCTTGCTTCCTTGTTTGTTTGATTTTTTGCCCTCCCCCTTCTGGTGCTGGGAATTGAACCCCGGACTCCACAACATGCTGGTCAAGTGCTCTACTACTGAGCTACATCTGGAGACCCTTGTCACCATGTTCTCCCTTCTGTCTCCATCCATATCAGCCTGGCTCTAAACCCAGATCCAAAAGCCACCAGCTCCGTGTCATCCTTCCTAATCCAGAGGGCTCAGTACTCCCCACTGGGGACCTATGAGTCTCTAGGCTCTGTGCTCTGCCCAGCCCTCCACCACATCCCCCACTCCTCAGTGTGTTTATCTGCCTCCCATGGTCTCTCCTATTAGAGTGGAAGCTCTCTGAGGGTTGTGACCAAGGGCACAGATCACATTGTTACACCGAGCATAGGATTTACTAAGTGACAATATGAGGACCAAGGTGAAAGGCATCATTTACAAAGCCATTGACCCTAAGTGTTTTGGCCACAACATCTTCTTAAAGGTGCTCACTGGGAGGGGATATGAAAGGAACAACCAAAGCAATGTTGCTAAAATTTGCATAGACTGAGACATGCGTATGGCCTGAAAGGTTTAGCCCCGTCCCTGAGATCTGCACTTGACCTTATGGTCAAACAGAAGCACTCAGCCCAACTGACCAGGTGCTTCATGGTCTTATGCAAGTTACCCAGCCTCTCTGCATCTCAGTTTCCTCCTTCAAGGTGTAGAGATGACTACTACTCCTCTGCAGAGTTGTTCAGATACTGTAACAAAGTTAAGTGGAAGTGACAGAAATCAAGATTTTCATAAAATGTCAAGCTCTTCCCTCTGCCATAGTCTCACTGCGCTTGCCCTCTGCCCAGTTCATCTGTTGAAACCTAATTACTGAGGTAATGGTATTAAGAGATGGGGAAATGATTAGGTCAGGGCAGAAGCCCCATGAATGGATTAAAGCCCTTATTGAAGAACCCCAGAGAGACACCCTTCTCCCACTACCATAAAAGGACACAGCAAGAAGACACCATCTGGGCTGAGGAGATAGCTTGATGGTCTAAATGCCTGCCTGGCAAGTGCAAGGATCCAAGTTCGATCCCTAGTACTGCATGCTGTGTCAGTCCAGGAATCCCAGACACGCCGTGCCTGCCACTGAAACTGGGTGTGGTGGTGCACACCTGTAATCTCAGCACTGGAAAGGCTAAGACAGGAGGATCACTCCAAGTTCAAGCTACATTGTGAGAGTCTGTATCAAATAAATAAATAAATAAACAAATAATTTTTTTAAAAAGACACCATCTACAAACCAGGGGTCCTTCATCAGACACCAAATCTGCTGGCACCTGGAACTTGGTCTTGTCAACCTCCAGAACCATGAAGACTGTGTTGTTTAATAGCTCCTAGTTTATGGTGTTTGGTTATAGCAGCTAGAACAGAGTAAAACCCCTTCCTTGCAGAAGTACCTGCTGTGAGATTTTAGATCAGGTAACACCTGAGTCTTGTCATCTGTGGAACAGGCAGACATGCTCCCTAATTCTTCTTCTACTACTCAAGAAGCCAGCTTATGTAAAACATTAATATTTATAACAGACTTGGTTTATTCAAAGTGTCATCTAAGTGTGAAGTAGTCATCCCACTCTGCCTAAACAACATAGGAATTGCCATCTGTCACTTCTAAGAGGATGAAGAGATTGTCGTCCATCAGGACGCATTGTTAGCAGGGAAGTGCTGCCGATGGAGGACACATATCTTCCCTGGCAGTAGGGTGGGTCTGCACTCTTGCTGCAGTCCTGTGATCCCAAGGGTTGTGCATATCTGTTGGGATGTGCTGGACAGTGATTCCTGCAAAGCTACCATGACATCTGGAAGCTGGCAGTGTAACCCTCCGACTGATGGGAAAACTGAGGCCTAGGGCAGTTATGGTGCATTTATATCCAGTGTTATCTCCCCACTCTTGCCCAGGATGCTGCAGGATGGACAGCTGTATTGCAGATGCACTGGTTGACATTGTGTAAACTTGAGAAGTTTAAAAATTCAATTAAGTGATGCAGGAGGGAGGCAGGGTTCTTACTTTTTTTTTTTTT